CTTGGTAGAATTTTGGGGATCACTCATGTAAACTATCATCAGCAAATAATGAGAGTTTGACTTCTTCCTTTCCAATTTGTTTCCCCTTGATATCCTTTTTATATCTTATTGGTCTAGCTAAAACCTTGAGAACTATATCGAATATATATGAAGAAAGTGGACAACCCTGCCTTGTTCATGATTTCAGAGGGATCACTGGGAGTTTCGCTCCATTTATTTTAATGAAACAATGGCAAAACTGAAAAAGAGGCTATAGAGGAATGCTTCTAATTTGCTTTCCCCTCATGATTTGCTCAGTCTACTTTTTAATTCTGGGACCAAGAGCCCAGTAGTTGTACCACATTCTGTCCTACTTGTTGCATCTACCAAAACAAATAAACAAAACAAACAGTAACTCCTGCATATAAATTTTAGGATACACCACTGAAGAGTTGCCAGAAACTTAAGAGACAGAGAAGCAGGAGATCTGTGAACTGTGTCTCATAAAGTACAGAAAAACATCAACCGTAAATCCTCACTGATATGGTTCCAAAATAAGGCCTGTCAAGTACAACTGGTAGAATCTGCTACAAAGGAAGGAAGGAGGTAGTAATCTCATGGAACTCTACCTCTAGACAAACAAAGAAAGAAAATTAAGAATTAAGAAAACGTAAGAGCATGGTTAATAGTTTTTCCTAGGAATGAACCCCATATTTGTAACTTGCCCTCTAATAACACATACAAGTAATGTTAAATTAACTAAAGAGGTTTTTGTCATACATTTGTGTGCTTGCATTCAGTTTAGTTTTCCCCACCTAGCTCTGTTCTGCTATAGCTCTTATATAGGTCCAAAGCAGTTCCTTTGTTAACCAATGATATTCACAGCATGCAGAGGAGAATCCCACATCAAATAGATTCTCCTCTACATCTATGACTTTATTACCCTTGGGTGACTGGCTAGATTCCTAGTACCAGACATGATTTCCCTCAGTTGAGCAGGCCTTAAGTAAATTAGACAGCTCATAGTTACCACTAAGGTGAGAGTGTCATTACTGTACCTACAGTTACCTTGCCATGATCTTCATTGCTGTAGTTCATTGGCATTACAATTGTGTAGGACTGCTGTTTGCTTTCTTCCCTTGTATGTTTGCATAGTACCTACTTTTGCTACAAAACTTAGTGCCCAGAAAGGATGCTTTCAAGTCAGATCCAATTCAGAGTTTCCAAGTCCTGTACCTGAAGGGAATGAAATTGTGATCATAAGAGATTTACATTTAATACCTGGAAGGCAACTAAGAACTAGATTGATAGCTTATTTTTCTTGTACTCTGTGCTAAATACCCTGACTGAGGGTTTTTAATGCCTAGTAAATATTATAAGATGGTCTATGGCTCCTGTTGGGGAACACTGTCAATTCAGTTGGGATACTTCTTTAAACTGTGTATGCACATGTGAATGTCCTCGAGCACACACACACACACACACACACACACACACACACAGAGAGAGAGAGAGAGAGAGAGAGAGAGAGAGAGAGAGAGAGAGAGAGAGAGAGAATACATATATATGGTCTATACATTATATAATAAAAATAATAAAAATAAAATATTATTTATTATGTCTTTTTTTCAGACTTCATTAGTGTTTTTTTTTTCTCTCTCCTTGTCTTTATTGACATCCTTTCCCTTTCCCAAGAAATCCCCTATACCCCTTTTTCTCATTTTACTGTTTCTATCACTTATGCTCTGATATTTCCTTCTCTAGTGCTCCCTCCACCAGCACCATCAATTCTTTTCCTGATTTCTATGATTTCTCCAGGGTATATACTCACATTAAAGATGTGGAACTATAATATGTGTGTTCTACATTTCTAGTATCCATTTAGTAGTTGAAGGACATTTAAGTTGTTTTATTTCCTAGATGTTGAGAATAGATTAGGAAAGATCATGGCTCAGTAGCTATTGTGGACTGTGTTGACTTCTTTGGGAATATGACAAGGAATGATACATTTGTGTCATGTGATAGATTTATACATAGCTTTGGGGAGTTTTCCATACTCATATCCAGATATGCTGAATCAGTTTGCAGTCACACTATCATTAATTGTGAGTTCCTATTTCTCTCTTCCTCACCAGTACATATCAGTTGCTTTTTTGATCTTAGCAATTCTGATCAGTATACAATATATTAGAGTACTTTATTAATACAGCCTGATTATAGTATAAAACATATATATGTGCATATATATGTGGGTGTATTAGAGATGCAAAACAACAGCAATATGATTCTAATAAAGATGTTAAAAATATTCATTTACTGGAAAAATGACAATGTTAAAATTGACAATAAATTGTATTGGGAAGCAATATACACATGCAGAATAAATATATGAAATTGCTAAGTCCCTTTTTCCACAAAGTGAAAACATCCAGATTTGAAAAGCCTTCTGTAACTATGAACAAAATAATGCTAAATACCTGTTGTTGGTCTGCAAATGCAAACCCAGTCAACATTCATGAATGAATGAGGAGGTGCTCAAGGAATATTAGCTCTTACTGCTAGAGTATTTGCTGTCGATAGGTTCTGAGTGAGGGAGAATCATTGTCTTCAGTTTTGTATTCACTGTTGAGCTCATCAGGATTCAACAGATTGCTTTACACTCTTTATTTCATTCATTAAACTGCATGGGTCTCAAGGAAAATGAATGATTAGGAATGTGAAAAAGATATCTATTAAATGTCCACCATATTCAGTGAGTCCAGTTTTATCCCGTGCATTTTCAGTCCCAGTCCAGCTGGCCTTAGTGATCTCCTAATAGATCAGCCCCACCATCTCAGTGGGTGGGTGCCCTCCTTGCGGTCTTGACTTCCTTGCTCATGTTCTCCCTCCTTTTGTTCCTCATTTGGACCTTGGGAGCTCAGTCCATTGCTCCGATGTGAGTCTGCTGAGAAGCCAAGGACAATGGCACTGAGTTTTGACCCTACTGCATGTACTGGCTTTGTGGGAGCCCAGCCGGTTTGGATGCTCACCTTCCTAGACCTGGGTGGAGGTGGGAGGACCTTGGACTGCCCACAGGGCAAGGAACCCTGACTGCTCTTTGGACTGGAGAGGGAGGGGGAGGGGAGGGGAGAGGAGGCGTGGGGAGTGGGGGGAGGGGGAGGGAAAAGTGAGGTGGGGAGAAGGCAGAAATTTATAATTAAAAAAATTAATAATAATAAAAAAGATATCTACTCAAAAGAGAATAGTAAACTAGGGTAGTCAGGAGATGGAAGAATGTGGAGATGAAAGTATAAAAGATGAATTTATACTTGAGTGAAACTGCCAAATAACAAATTTAATAATTAGTTTTTAAATGATTAAAGTCATAAATGTAAGATCTAAAACTGATAAGTTATGAGAAACAGAGAATGCTTAAGACTATGAAATGGGAAAGAACTCTTAGATGAGATCCTAATCCAATGTAGAAAATAAATGAGAAGTTAAAAAAATAATACAAGATATTAAAAAGTTCTACACCGTAAAATAAACAACAGAGTGAAGTGAAGTTCAAACTACAAATTTGAAGAAAACTTTTGAAAATTAGAAAGGCAAAGGATCAAGCAAAACTAATAGAAAAAAATTAAAAATAATCTGCTTTTGAAATAAGCAATGGACTTAACTTGATATTTCTTTAAAAGGCACACGCTCACCATAACTACACCTTAGGGAAGTGTAACCCCAAACCTCAAAAGTAATCATGTTAATTCAGTGTGAGTAAATAACAAATATGCATTTAATTGTCAGTTTGATATAAAAGACATAAAGAACAGAGAATATCATCAACAACAATAAAGAGCTAACACACATACACATATCTTAAGACTGGAGAAAGGTCTCATACAGCAACTTCACTATTGTATGTATATTTTTTTAAACCAGTATGGACAAAATTTATCTCCAAAGTTTTGTCCCCATTTATGGTAACAAAATTCACCGAGCCAAAGGGTGGAGGCAACAAATCTGTTAAATTAACTTACAAATGAGGTGTGATAAATACAAATTTGGATGAATTTCCTTCATTTCAGCAAATACATATAGAACCTAACATTAAGTGTAACAAGCCAAGCACAGAAAATATTACACAATCTCATATATAAATATGGAAGCATTTTATATCAGTTAATGTTTTACAATAACTAGTGTTACAGTAGTATCATCAGAATCAATGTAGGTCTGGGAGGAGAAAGCATTAAAAATGTGGATCATTAACTGTAAAATAAGATTTCTCCACTGCTGCATGATATTATTAGAAAAACACAGTACTTGTAGAACAAAATTAATTAACTAAAAACTGATCATTGATTTCTTTAAAAATATTCTAAACTCCCTTTCTAAATTTTACATCATATTGTGATTGCCAGAAATACAGGCTGAATATTTACTATTTAATTCTAACCAATTAATTTTTTTTTGTCAGGACATTAAGATTAAATCTAGTTCTAAATATTTTTTTATTTTAATAATTCACCTCTTTTTTTTCTTATTTGAACTATTAAACCTATACAAATATCTGCATGCCATGTATTTTCACAAACCTTAATATCATATAAAAATTAAAAAATAGAAATATTATAAATTCTTTTAAAATACTTTATTAATTTATGTGAATGAATGCTTAAAATACTTTATTAATTTATGTGAATGAATGCTTAAAATACTTTATTAATTTATGTGAATGAATGCTTGACCTGATTGTATATCTGTGAATCACAAGTGTGCATTGTCTGTGGAGGCCAGAGGAAGATTTCCTGAAACTGAAATAACAAGATGTTGTGAGTCACCTTGTGGGTGCTGGAATCATATCCAGGTTCTCAGAAAAGTCAGCAATTGCTCTTATCCACTGAGCCAGCTCTCTGTCTCTCATTATGAATTCTTTACATAGGCAAGAAAAAATACTAATATGTGTGCTTATCAAATAAATACCTAATGATGCCTATTTACATATTATGACATAGTATATAATATATAATATTGTTCTACAGATGCTCCTAAGTTTGTTTCAAATCAGACAATGTACTATTCTTGGGAAGGAAATCCAATCAATATAAGTTGCGATGTGACATCAAATCCACCTGCATCAATCCATTGGAGAAGAGAGAAATTGGTCTTACCAGCTAAAAATACCACTCATTTAAAGACATACAGTGTTGGGAGAAAGATGATACTAGAGGTAAGCCTTCATCTGCACATCAATAAGCATATTTTTAGCCATTATTGATTATGTCAGAATACATTTAATTTGAATTTCTATAAGACATATATTAAAATATTTATATAAATTTCATATTATTTTGAAAAATTAATTTTTAGTTGGTATAATAACCAATTTTTTATCTGTGCTTCTGTATCTGAAATATTTTTCATGAATTTACTTTCTAAAAGTGAAATAATTCTGTTTGTGAGAAAATATGGGGTTGGCAAAATAATTCAAAGATTTAACTTCAAAGTTGATTATCTCACTGTTTTTTTGTTTACATCTATTATTCTTTGACAGCTGTATAAACTTATCATTTGGTTAATAATTTATAATTCTAGAGATGTCAATGTTTATGCCTATATTGCAAATATTTAAATTTTTGGTGAAAATTTTATCTAATAGCTGGGGTTATTTCACTTTATATTTTGTACAATTTTAAATCTTTCTCTTGTTTACTTTAGTATTTTTCTGAAACCATAACTAAATTTTAAAAAGAACAATTTGACAGAGGAAAGATTTATTTGGGTTCAGAGTTCGAGAATATTCAATTAATAGAGATTTGGCCCCATGTAGTTGGACAGAGCATTACAAAGGCATGGCCATGTGGTGCAGAATTCCCTTTATACTAGATGAGAAGCAAAAAGCAAGAGAATGTTGGCACAGTTCCCCCCCCCCCCTTTTTCCAATTTTATTTCATTCTGGTGCCCAGCCAGTAGAATGGTGCTGTCCACGTTAAGTTTGGGTCTTTCCAATCTTCTCAAGAAACATCCTCACAAGGTCACCCACATGCTATTCTAAATACAAAGATATCAAGAGAACCAAGCATCACTGACCTTCTTGTAAAAATAATTGTTGGATGAGAAGTTGCTTTCTAGGAACAGTGACTTCAAGTTGGCTTGGTTAATTCATCCTTGCTTCCTTTTTCTTTATTTTCTCTCTTGCTTTTATTTTTCCCTTGATTATTTTGTATTTCTCGTTCTTTTAATCTGTGCTATATTAAATGATTTCAGTATTTACTAAGCCTAGCATCATAAATGAATTATTGTGATAAACTTGCAAATCCTGTCTATGAATTCAACGTCTTATTTCCTATTAAGTTCTAAACATCATTGGACCGATTTTTCAAATCCTAAATTGAGCTATTTGAAAATGGCTTCAAAGTAAGTGTCTTTTTTTTTATAGGATATTAATCTTTAAAAAGGAACAACCTGTACTGTAGTCATGGTGCTTGCTGTGGCTCTCTTGCCTCTATGTTGTATTGATTCTATAAAAACCAGCTTCCTTGTAGAATTTACTAAAACCTTTCTCACATGACTGTGAAATAAGAAAAGGTTTTGCTAGTGTATTTGTAATAGGATTAAACTAGCCTAGTTTATTAAAAAGCCACATGTAAAGATAATGAGTTTCTGAATAATTTCAGGGAACTAACAAAAGAGTTAAATCTGAGCATTAAGCTGTTAAACCTATGAACTTTTCTTAGTTGGAAAGCTGATTAGAAAATGAATGAAACAGCTTTTTTATACTCTACTTGTTCAGAATAATCATCTTCAATAGACCTCAAAATTGTTCTCTTGGTTAATAGTCTCCCATTACCACTAAATCATTTCTTCAGTCTTAGAATAGTGTTGAAATTAATGGGCAATTCGTGTTGTTAGCGCAGTCTCTCTAAAATAGCCACTGGGATTGAAAATCATATTTATCACCATCATCAAATATCTTTGGAGGATTAACATGTAAGCATTTATGCACAACAGAATTACAGAGTTGACCTCACCTTTCACCAGTGGAATCCCTGAAGGGGAACTTAATTTCTGATTTTAATCTGAAAACTCAGGTCATATTTTTTTCATCTAAAGAAAAAGAAAATAGAACAAAGATAATTACTACAGATTTAAAAATACAGTTTATAGCATTTTTACCTGGCACTGTTTTCTTGCAAGACATCTTTTATGAAAAAAATCAAGATATAGAGCTAAATGTAAAAATCATAAATAAGCATAGTGGCTTATTCTTGTTCTCAACAATTCAGAAGCAAAATGAGGAGAAACACTGAAAGTTTAAGGCAAGCCTGAGAGCTACTAGTGATTCCAGCATGGGGTATAGAATGTGACAGGTCCAAATACAAACAAATAAACAAACAAACCGGGAAAACAATGCAAGACATACTTTAGTAGAAATATTGTCTTTAGCTTAATAGTTGGTTTGAATTTGCATTGACTACATGATGTATTTCCTTAAAACTTTACCTATGCTGTGATTATCAAAAGATAACTTTGCCATTGAATAGATGTATTGATCAAATGGATGAATTGATAAACGAGGCATGATGAATCACTTCAACTATGAACATCTAGTTTTATGGATATGTCATTCAAATTTTAGCATTATGCAGACTGAGCAGGTAGCATTTATGCATTTAAGAATATGTATACACGTGGTATTACAAATGTGCACGGAACAATGGAGAAAGAGGCCATGATGTGAAAGAGAGCAAGGAGGATGTACGGGTAGGCTTGGAGAAGGAACAGGAAATGGCAAGATGATGCAATGACATTAAAATTTCAAAAAATAAAAGAAGTTAAAAATACATAAAATTAAAATAAATGTTTGTATTATTTAATAATGCTTGCTAGATAAATAAAAGAGTTCCCCGAGGAGTCATATGTAAAATAGCTGAGCAAATGTGCAAGAAGTAGAGATGATTTAGCCTTTTAAAATAACTTTGATATTTCAGCATTTTCACTTTTATTATTGTGATTATTTTAGATTGCCCCTACATCAGAAAACGATTTTGGACGATATAACTGCACTGCTACTAACCGTATAGGAACAAGGTTTCAGGAATATATTCTTGAGTTAGCAGGTGAGTACAGGACACTAATATTTGACATTAATAAAATAATCTTATACCCAAGTGGAATTTTAAGCTACTAAAATTGTATAAACAAATTTTACATTAAATTAAATGTATTTATAGTTGTTTAGTCATAATAAAAACATTATTTGAAGTAATGAATTAAGAGTTACAAAATAGAAAAATATTTGACATAGTGAATAGTGAATGCTTACAATTCATTTAGTATCTAAAGCTCATTTTAAAGTGTAATTTTTTGTCATGTAGATGTGAGATTATTTTAAATCAGCAACATGCATTTTAACCAAAGTTATATTATAAATAATGTAAAATAACATTTTAAAATATGTCCACATCAATGTATTGTTTTATTTAAAATCTAGTGTAATTCATTCAAGAGGCATGAGTTTCTTCTCCAGAAGGTATGTGGAAACTCAGTGAGAAAATATGCAATAAATATACCCTTAATTTATTTTTAATTTGATGTCATAGGAAATATTTTATAGTTGGAATTCCTACATGCACTCTGCATAAATTGACCAATATCAACACCAATATTAATGAGAAAATTACATCTGGGTCCTATGAGAGGCAAACAAAGGAGCAAGGTGTAATCTCTGATATTTCTTCCCCCAAGGCTGAGGAGAACCTAGTCTAACAAGCATAATACTTAGAAACATGTCGCCAGTGTAGTAATAAGCCAAAATTCTTATTAAGTCAACATACTCTAAAGGCTTAGATTAAGCAATGCTGCCACATACTGTGGTTATTAATGTCCTTTAAAATTAAATAAATTTTAAATAAAAGAAACACTTAGAAAGATAAGGCAAATTAAGAAATACACATAATAATTCTAAGAGACAAAATAATTATCATCTTAGGCAATATTATTGACAAAATCAACAATTTGTGGCTCAAAATTGGTAATAAGTGGCACTTTGAAAATAATCATTCATTGCTGAATAGTGTTTTATGAATTGAGAAAAATAGTTTATTAAGAAATGTGAGTATTTAGAAAAATCACTCAAGTATCTTAAAGATACAAAAACATTCTCATACACATGATGATGCAACATTTATTAGGATTTTGATTACATATTATTATGGGGATAAGACATATAAATACCAAACATATATATTGATGAATTGGACAGTTTATGATTTATGCTTTACTTTGTTATTTTATCTGCTGTAGAAGGGCAGCTAGATAAAGTATATTATGACAGGGATTTACAGCTTAATTGAATAATCTCTTATACTTCAGTAATATTCATAGATTAATTTTATTTATTTGTCAGATAGAGTGGATATTCAGGGATTATGAAACAATATACTGTAGTAGAGCAGCGGGCTGCTTCCCTCCTCACGGGAGGGCTCCCGGCAACCTTTTGCCCCAAAATAATTACAGGGCAACTGTATTCTTTTAAACACTGCTTGGCCCATTAGCTCTAGCCTTTTACTGGCTAATTCTCACATCTTGATTAACCCATTTCTAATAATCTGTGTAGCAACACGAGATGGTGGCTTACCAGAAAGGATCTTAACCTGCTCCATCTTGGAGAGGAGAGCTATAGCATCTGACCTCACTGCCTTCTTCCCAGCATCCTGTTCCGTTTACTCTGCCTACCTAATTTTCTGTCGTATTAAAGGGCCAAGGCAGTTTCTTTATTTAACCAATGAAATCAACACAAAACAGAAGACTCTCCCATATCAATATACCATTTTTCATGTTTCTTTGTATGTAAATTTGTCATATGTTAGTCTACATAATGCTTTTACAATGAGCATGAGCACATGTAAACTAATTCAAAGGGCTTCCCTGAGGATGTCTCACATGAAAACATCATTTGTATTTGCTTTACATAATGAATCAAGACTTTTTACAATGATGTTTATTTATTTTTATATTTTCTGTATTTAATGAAAAAAGCATATGTTCTAATACAGTAATTTTATTAATATATAATATATGTAATGTTATAATCAGGATAATTATTATATTTCTTTACAATTTCTTGGTCCTTCTTTTGGATTCTCTTGAACAATTTGAGGTAGTGGTATCAAAAAAGTATATCAAATAACAGCTTCAGCTAAATAATAGGTACATCGGTTTGGACTTGAAGTTTCCCATGTCATGTGCCACAGAAGACATTTACAGATCTACCTAAGTGCATAGACATAAGACAATGTGAAATTGTACTTTCAAAACACCAAGAACAAATAAAGTGCTCAAAGAGAGTAGACAACGGTTATTACAGTCTACCGTATTTCATATAGGCAAATTCTTTTTAGTGGATATTAGTGTGGTGATGTATTATTAGCTAAGGACCTTGATTACTTTAGACATTTAATTTTTATAAATAACATTTTTTTTTCTTTTTCATTATCTCATCTGTCCTCCTTTTTTCCCATGTCTATAAGTGAAATATCTCATACTGGCACTGCTCACTCGATTTTCTTAACCTTAGTTCAGGGCCTGTACTTACCACTTTTAAAGTTCAAGTTGTCATATTTGACTCATCTCTTTAACCTACAGAGACCCAGTCAAATTCAATACTTTAGATTTCTTTCCAAGATTTATTTAATTCACAAATATCATAAAGCTGTCAGGTATATTTTCATTTATGTCACAGATAAAACTCTAGAAGTCACTCGGGAGAAGAGAGACCTGATTAGAGGCTAAGCTATGTCAACTGAGCAGAATTTCATAGATAGAGAATAATCATCAGTTCAGTGGTCTGTGTGATCAGATGGCATTGTCCTGTAAAGCAGGGTAAAGGTAATTCATTTGAAAGGAAATGGTTTCATCATCTGATTATAAATCTGTTTCTTTCAGTGAAATATTTTAGAAAGATATTCTCATTGATATTTATTTAGAGAATTCTGAAATAAACAGAGATTTTCAGTAACTAATCATATAGTCCTTTGCTTTTTCATGATCATACTATAAGAAAAACACTGTTTACCCTAACAATGATATTGATAAAAAAATCTTTTGACAATAACTAATCACTAGTTAACAATTGAATAAACAATTACAAGAAATGTTTCCCCTATGTACAGTATACTGTTTTGCATCTTTGAATGAACAGTTGAATAAGAAAGGTACTCAGTCATTACCTAAATTATAGTACAATACATATGAATTACAATACAACTTTAAATAAAATTTAAATTTTATGACTGCATAAAATTGATCTCTGATTGGAGTTCCTGGGAAACACTTCAAACAGATGTCCTCTTTTGACCTAAATAAGAAAGAAGAACTGGGGCCACTAACAATGGAAAGAGTACACAGGTCAAGGTGACATTGGCAACAAATGCACTGTGCTATGAAAGAGTGAGAGATGCTTTGAAATGGGCCATTTGGTGAGGACGATGGAAATATGTTCAATGATCAGCCCAGTGTTTAACAATGTGAATAGTAAGATCATGAAAGATCAAGTCACAGATTTCCTTTGAATATGTTTATATTCTGTCTAAGGCATAGAATTATAAAATTAAATATTGGATATGTTTATTCATAATGCAGAATGACCCATTTATTTTTGAAAAAAACACAAAGGACTGATTTATGAACAGCACAAGATGGAGCCTGTTGCTCCTTTCAAGTTATCTAGGCATTTTAGTCTATAAATGTATGAGTGGATAGATAGATAAATGATAGATAGAGATGATACTGTGATTAATGATAGATGATAGATAGATAGATAGATAGATAGATAGATAGATAGATAACAGATAGACATACAACTACCTGAATTTTCTACCCAGTATATAAAAGATTTGGTGTATTAAAATTAGTTGACTAATAAGACATAATTGAAAGTATCAATTAAAAAGGGTATATGTGTACATATTATTTCTGAGAATATAATAATATACTGAAATCTTGATTTTGATTGAAAAAATTAAATGAAAAATGTTAGTGATCAGGGACAGAACCAACAAACTACCCAATTTGAGTCATTGAACTTAATGAACAAATAAAATTTGAAATGATTATACAGTTTATATAACCACTTTTAAGGATATATCAGGAACATAAGTAATAAAATGAGATTAAGATATCAGTGGAATAATCATTTGAATTTTGAAGCTGCTAAAAACCAGAATATTGAAATTTAAAGCAATTTCCAAGGAATTAGATGTTTTGTCACATATATTAATGTTCAAAACTTTTCTAATTTAATCTATTTTTCTTTTTATTGAGAAAAATCTTCATACTATATATGTGATTATGTTTTCTCACCCCAATTAATCCTAGATCCTACCCACCCTTCAACTTACCCAAATTCTTTTTCTCTCTCACTCTCTTAAAAACTCAGAAAACAAATGAATACCAAGAAACACACATCCATACTCATAAACAAAACAAAATATTTTGGAAACAAAAATATTCAATCAAAAGACCAATAATACTCAACATTACCAATCCAAACAAAATTAGACATAAACACTACACAGTCCCATCAAGGTCATTTTGAAATGAACATTTTTTTAGAGAAGCTGACAATTAAGTACTGTTAATGTACGCAATATAGTCCAGTATATACTTTTATCTTTAGAGATTGGAGCATGTGTCTACTTCCACTTCTTAGTTCAGGAACCCATGTGACTTGTACTTCTGTATTGTATCTGTATGGCACTGTTACTTGGAGTCATCCATTAGTTTTTGCTCTTACATTTATTGTCTCCTACATTGATTGTTGAACCTTAAGGGGAAGAGTTTGAAAAAGACACCCCATCAACGTATTTTGTCAGTTTACAAAGATACCTTAGAATAGAAAGTATCTGACGAGAGCTCCTGCATGGCAAATATTTTCCTCAATAAACCCTCACATGGACTAAAGAACATATGTGGTATTTACAGCTCCTTTTGTAAGTTCCTAATCACATACATCAGAGCTTTTAAATATTTTAAAAGACATCACCTGCTAACATTTTAACACTGACAGTTAAGTTTCCCCATTAAAATACTGAGAGTATTAATATTAAAGCAGAATTCA